CTATTCAACGTCCCTACAACGTCTTAGTAACAAACGAGGACGGAAACCATAATCTTTCTCAAGAAAACACACTCATTGGTTGAACACATTACACATTCTCCGCAAGATCTTAGCCGTGACATTTTACCTACGTTGCTTCTCAAGGCAGAACATGCACTCCGAGCCTAACCTTACTAAGCCCAAGCTTTGCTTAAATTACTCCACATGTGTACCTCATTTTCTATGGCTTTCAGACGTGTTGTTAGAGATTCTCGAAGCCACGAAATCGACAGCAAATCTGTGTTGTCCGCAACTACTCCTTTAATTTCGCTGATAATTTCAGAGCGTTTTACGATCTCATTCCGCTTTTCTAGTGAGTCCAACAACTTCCTCGCACCTGAATAAAAAAGCACCTCAAAATCAAAGCCACGAGTTGTGCAACGATTATAGTAGAGAGCAACCAAGTAATGTGAACCTGAGGGCATCCGTTGCAAGATTCTTTTCCACAATTAATCTTTCAAGTTTCGCGGTCAAATTGCGATAATCATTGAGCAGCGAGTCAAGAGTTTTCGCAAACCTTAAATAGATAAAATCGTGACAAGCAGCGAAAGTTGTAGGCGGAAATTGAAGTTATCTACCTATCACAACCTTCGTACACTTCGTTCATTTCTGAGTGAACACTTCGCTGTGTGCAATCCAATGCTTCCAAAGCTGTTGTTTGTTCTAATAACCTTGATAGGTTTTCTTCCACCTAAACTAATTTGTTCTATTCGCAAAATCAGTGTCAAGCATAGCGTGTAGGGATTTTCTGAGTACTGCTCTTTCCACCAGCGAAGGTCACATTGCATAAGAACATTTGAGGGCCATGAAGACATGTGTCTGCTGTTTTAACACATATGTTGACACTTTAGAAGAGAGGCTTGAAGTTTAGAAGTCCCACACAAAATACAGCATAAGAATCACAAAATGAGTAAATTGAAAAACATGTAAAGTGCAACATGAACAAAATTTTACTTGTTCAAAGACTATCATCAAAAAGCTCATTGTCCCCAGGAAGCATTCTTCTCCCCTTTTTCGCTTGCTGTCCCACTTCACTCTTATTCAAGTTTATTTCTATTTCGAGCACATAAGGTAGGGCTGTATTCGAGACTTCTTGTCTAACATCCAGTGTTTACTAGTTGCTTCTTCTAGCAAACAGGAAGAATATAATACTCACTCCTTTTCTGAGCTGTCGATTTAGAGACTCGTCGATCTGACTTACACGTCGAAGGATATTTTCGGAGGTGAATTCATCGCAAGTAACGATTCTGCAAAAAAAAAAAATTGAAGCAAATCAAAAAACAGGCACATCTGCGTAGAAGCAAAGAAGCTTGATGCGCTGGTTCCACAAGAATGCTGAGTTATGGGCAAAACTGAAGATCCAGGCGGGAATCGTACTCACACCTCTACCCTTACGTGCTCTTGTGTCGTGCTACCGATTATATTTACCAGGGATCATTTCACCTTAACTGAGCTTCAGCAGCCTCCCCCCGTCCTTCCCAGAACTAGAGTAATAGTAATACATCAGGATACTTAAAAACTATTTCATGTAGTTGAGATAGTCAATGTTATTGTACAAGTAAACTGCAGCTGGTTTCAGTCACAGCTAGAACATTTCCTAGGCTTGTAAATTTCAAAATAGGCCTTTCGTTCGACGACTGGCACAAGTTTTACCTCCACATGGACACTGGTCAGGAGCTAATCTTACGAGGACATCGCAACTCTACTCGATTGAAAAAAAAAATATAGTAGGCCTCAGGGAGGAAAATATTAATCATTCATGAAGATTTTTGTTACGTTAGGATAATTCTGCTCCGCTGTCGGGGGGTTCATATATAAATCTTTCAAATCGTTTCACGAATCCGTTTCAGGTTCTTTTGAGAAAGTTGAGCTTTTTGGTGAGAAAGTATTTTGATATCAAGCAGTTTGAAACTGCACAAGGATCAAAACGAGCACGAATGAAATATGTTATAACAACTGCTGACCACAAAACATAACAACATTAAGTAAACAACATTCAACACAACTTTTGAAGTTAATCTCTATGCGAAACACTATAATACATTGACTACCTAAGTTGAAAATAGACAGGGCAATAATTGAACTAAATAAAAAAAAAAATAAAAAAAAAAAAAGTCGTCATGTGCTGCGGTTGCAGCCTTTTTAAGATTGTACTTCTCCACTTGAACCGGTGGAAGAAGCTCAGAGATCATCCCTTTTGCTATGGTCTGTTTGTGACTGCCATCCCTCAAGGTAAAGGATATTCCTTTCCGGAACGGCATTGTACGCATTAGTGTGACTGTTGCGCTAGCATTTTCTCCCGGCATGAGAAGTTCTTGCGAGAGATCAAATCGGGCGACCTGCAAGAGATGTCACAATTCTTAAAGGCATCGAGAAAATAGTACGGAACTGAGGAAAGAGATAGGGAAATCAAATAGAGGAAATATAGAAAAATATTCCAGGCATAAAAAAACTAATCGCCAACCTGATCCCACGTGCTGCAGAAAAGCTTATCAGTGAACCCAGATCGGATGCCAATTTTACGACCGTTCTCCTCTTCGCTTAGCAGATAGATTTCCGCTTTTACGTGATTTGTTACTTCAATTGCACCAACATGACCCAGCCACATACCTGAAGAGACTTGACAAAGAAGTATGGAGAGGCACACATCCTGTGTATTCAAAACCCAAGTGAGCGAACGTATTTCCTCTTTTCGAAAATTTTGACTCGCGAAAAAAGAATCCGTGAATGGACAAGAAGTTAGGAAAACTAAAAGCTTGAAAACTGATGATCATCATTGAAAGTTATCTAAAAAGCAGACTAACAGTCAGTTATCTGCCTTTGCGACTGTCCATTAGTTTCGAAGATTTACTATTATTTATGATAGAACTATGACGATTCTCTATGATCAACGTTAAGGGGCAACAGACCTCGCGCAACATGGTCAGCCTTCACACCTCTGCAAAGTACTCCGCAGTGATCACCAGCTCGAACCTGAACGAAAGCACAATAGATGAAAATACCGTAGAGAAAATTGACAAACAATAATTGGATTACTTCTTTCACACTTTTTCCAAAAACCTGGATATCGGAGGCTGTTGTGAACACTTCTCTGCCGTTGCCTTTTATTTCCAATTTGTCACCCTTTTTCAGAACACCTCGCTCTACAGTACCAATGACCACAGTACCTGAACAAGAGCATTTTAATAACCATATTATCTAAGGGAACCAAAGAGTTGTCTCTAACCTCGTCCTGTTATAGCCGTCTTGGAAGCCACAGGCATCACGAGGGTTTCATCCTGAAAATAACAAAGCCGCTGACTCAACAAAAAGCATAGCATCATTCAAAAACAAACTTCATTTCGTTGCGGTTCAGGTAGACCATCAAGGGTTGAGAGCAACTCGACTATGCTGGAGGAATCTAATCCTTCTAGGGCTTTTAAAGCAGATCCACGAATCACAGGAGCTTGATCACCTATCAAGCAAATTTATTAGAAATTATTAAATGTGAATACACACTGAAAATGTTGAATCCTTGTGAAGTAATTGAAAAGGGTCAAGTACCGTCAAATCCGTGAGCCGATAATAGCTCTCTTGCTTCAATTTCTACGAGATCGAGGACGTCCTCCTCGACCAGATCAGCTTTATTGATGTAGATAATAACGTGTTTCAAACCAATCTGACGAGCCAAGATAAGATGTTCCTGAAATAGCGTACTGAAGAAATCATTCCTATAATACTAAACATAAAATTATCTAAATTTTAGGGAGCTGTGGCAGGAACTAAAAAATGGCAAAGCTGTGATTATTTTTCTAAAGTCGTCACAGTCGTTTGCTGCCCCGAAAAACTCCGCAGGCTATAATCGCGGCCTCAATCAGTCCCCACGTGGCATTCACAGTAGACAAAATTTCAACAAACTTTCGTCGCACACGGTTCCACTGTGGAGGAAGTTCTACGGCAAAATCTACCTATAGCTGATGTCATAGTCCGCGATCCGTCGCGCGAATCGCGCGACGGATCACAGAAATCACAAGTGCCCGATCAATACTGCGAGGTGCTCTCCAATCCCGCCGCCATTTCTGCTTGATGGTGATGGTTGAATGACGACTGTTCATGATTCTACTTGTTTCATATTCAGTGTTTCAAATGTTCAAATGGGGCACTTGCGATTTTTGCGATTCGCGCGATCGCGCGACGGATCGCGGACTCTGACACCAGCCTATGAGTTCTCCCCATAATGAAAGAAAGCCCTTGCCCAGTACCTTCACCGTCATCAAAATGTGAACTCTACAGTCGTCGCCATCGAGCTCAAAGTGACCTACGTAACCGCTCTAGCCTGGAGCAACCACTATACCCGGTCAATTCAATGATAAACAGTTCTCACGAGTAGAGTAGCTTAAACTGTTCAGAACCGCCGCGGAGCAGCGGTTCGAACAACGACAGCAGCGTTCCGCGATCCGCACGAACTTCTTTTGACTCGAAGCTTCAGATTCATCCAATGTCGCTCTTTTAGAAGGCCACTATGAGGTTACTTAATGGATTACAGTGGGCGGCTCTTCAATATTCAGTAAGGAATATAGGGTCGGAGACCCCTCCCTGTACACGGTAAATGTTCCCACTCAGCCTCACAGACCGTGTAAATGACCAAGTAGCCTTACTTGAGCACCTTAGTTTGGGCCATGACACCATCAGTGGCAGCAATCACCAAAATGGCAGCGTCCATCTGTGCCGTACCGCAAATCATGTTCTAAAATAAAGGTGATGGAAAATACATGTCATAGAAAAACGACTTCTGACCTAGGAACGTCCCAAACACAACTAGCCTTGATGAAGTCTGAATGCCCTGGACAGTCAGTATGCGAATATCTCCGCGCTTTACTTTCATATCCAATATGTGCTATATTGATAGTAATTCCACGTTTCTTCTCTTCTTTTGCCTTGTCAATTTCGTCGAATTTCACCGGCTTCGCTAATCCTGTAACAAGGGAAAACTACCCAGCTGGACAGGGCTAACTAGAATGTGTGAAGACAAAAATGGATGTCCATGTGGACTAAAGAGAAGAAGTGAGTACCTTTTCAGCAAAAAATTACCTTGTTTACTGAGTACATGGGTGATGGCGGCCGTAAGCGTAGTCTTCCCGTGGTCAATATGTCCAATTGTCCCAACATTGTAATTAGGCTTCCTTGTAGGTTGAGCAGATTGTGAAAGACATCTCACTGAGCCATAACGAAGAATATTCTGGTGAATTAACTTCAAATGTGGGTCTGATAAAGAGTTCTTGTGAAATAATGAAGTTTTGTATAAACTTCTTGATATGTGCACAGCCAGCGAGCGAGTGTAGCCCATCTTCGCTCACAGGCAAGCACCCGGTCACTTCCTGAAAAAAAAAACAGAATCACCACATGAGATCGCGTGTGGCGCTCAAAACCAGCGAAGGAGGAAAATCTCGGATTTTTGCAAAAAGTTACGAAGGGGAGAGGGGGAGGTACATTCACAGGGCACTCAAAAACCGCCGGTAGGTAAACTAAGGCTAAGCCCAAGTGAGGGGAGGAACGCCTGGGAGAACGAAGCTCGCTGACATGCTCTCCCAGAATCCCTCGACAAAGCATAGTCCCAGGTAAGGCTCACTCAAATGAATATCCCCCACCCCAACGACATGAGCACCGTATGAAATATGGAAAGCGGAGCAATGTGTAGGGCCGCGTTCTCCACGGTTTTAGAGGTGTGGAGATCAGGAGAAAAAATAAGGCATATAAAGATCCAGAGATTGGAATACTCAGTTGCCATCACTATCCAATCCCGAGGATGACCCTCGTGGCTGTATCATTCTCGGCCTGACCATGAGGGCATTAGTAAAGAACATCTCATTTCAAGAAACGAGAATTCAGACAGTAGGACTTTTCCATTCAAGCAGAGATGAATAAATAAAGCAGAGGGTGATGAATGATAAAGAGCTGCTTCTAGAGTGTGATCTAAGGGATTCAGCTGCAAACCTCTTTTAACGTCAAATTTCTGTGGAAGGGAATCTCACCAGCAAACATTTATCTAAATACAGATGGGTTTTGGGTCCTACTTCCCGCAAAAGTGTTCAAAGAACAGCTCGGTGAAACAGAGAAATATGCTGCTAATGTACTGTGTACGATTTTAGCCCACTCCGTGGTCCACTTCAAACTCCCAACACAAGCTCGTTAACAACCCGGAAGATGAAAAAAGCACATCTGAGTCAAAAACGTCCAGGATTGAATTCGGTGGAAAGCCATGGCGCTTCACCAGTACAAACATACGACTTCCAATCAAATCTTGAATCGCGTTGAAACATCCACGACATCTTGTGTAGTTGCATACCGTGAGCTCCCACTACCGTAACCCTACGACATTTGTGCTTGTGGGTGTCGCTTGCCAGCCAGCTCGTTCGGGTTTCGGCACTATTCAACTATTACAACCCCAAAATCTCAAAATTTTATTTTTCGTCGAAACTTTGTCTATAGGGGTAATTCGGTGCCCTGATTACGAAAATGACATTCATTTTTGGCGGTGGCGCCATCTGGCGCCAGTTGGCGCCACCTTGTCACGACACATGTTTTCACCAAATTCGGTGTAAAGTTCTGTATAGGGGTTATTTGATGTCCTGATTACGAATATGACATTCGTTTTTGACATTACCGCTGTTTACCGCATACTTCCCGCTTTTCTGGGCTCTCTCACCTATACATAGCGCCTTGGGACTAAGCTTAGGGGATAGGGAGACTCGGAATGAGTGAATCAGGCACCGTGTGACGAAGATGGAGCGTGTGAGATCACGTGGTAGAGGGCTCACTCACTGATATCTTTCCTCTCTCCTAAAGCTTAGTCCTGATCGCGATCTAGTCACTAGGAGGGCGCAGACGAAGAGATTAAAGCGCTAAATGGAGCTAGCGCCAAGAATGAATGTCATATTCGTAATCTGGACACCAAATTACCCCTACCCAGAAGTTTACATCGAGTTTGGTGAAAACAACTGTCGTGACAAGGTGACGCCACCTGGCGCCAGATGGCGCCCCCGTTGAAAATGAATGTCATTTTCGTAATCAGGGCACCGAATTACCCCTATAGACAAAGTTTCGACGAAAAATAAAATTTTGAGATTTTGGGGTTGTAATAGTTGAATATGCCCGTACAACTCCCCATTGGGCCAACTCGCCCTAATAACTCCCAGTTGTTTCATAGGGCNCTGTAAGNAAATCTTNAANNNNANNNNGNTTCACCAGGAACTTGGAAGGCAGCGGTCCTGATATTGCGCCAATACATGCATGCTACCCTAAAACCGTCTTGGATTCGGTGACTTAATAAAGATGCATACAGGGATGAAGCCTTTAACCCTTTTTATCTCCGGGATGATGTTTTTATAGTTCTTTGATATACAATAGCACTGATTGACACACTGAAGCATCCTTCCTTGCGTGCTCAAACTCTGAGTCCCAGAGTTTGAGACTCAAGAAATGCTTCGAACGGGGATGGGTAATCTTATATGTATTGGGTTGACGGAAATCTTCGACGATTTACTTCCACATGTTGCAAAATCTTTTGGGATCGTTTTGAAGGATTTTTTCTACAAAGGTAATTGTGATATGGCAGGGCGGAAGTGGTGTAGTGACAAGTGGCACGCTTACCACGCGAGCGCGGTCCGGGGATCAAATCCTGGGTCGTGAGTCGCCCGGGCCAACCAAGCCTTCCATCCCTCCGGGGTCGGTTAATTGGTACCAGACTTGTCTGGGAGGATAAAAACACTGACTTGTACATCGGCTGGCCCCCGCAAGTCATTGTATAGGCCACATCGCATTCAAAAACGCCACTACGAATGTACAAATGGAAGTAGAATGCGTGCCGCATCCCAAAGGGATTGATCAACGGCAAAGCTTTACTCCTCTAAACCTTTACTCACTAATCTAATTTTTCAGCAGAATTCCCAATGTGCACACTGTTTGCCGAGATGCTGGAACACGGAAGGAATCGAGTTCTAACGCTCTCCACAGCGTTTCACACGACTCTGAAAAAAGCTCAAAACGCTCGAATGGTACAAAGATTTAGCCAATGTCACGTGGTAAGCGTCGTACAAATATCCCTTATCAACTTATCTCAGTGGTAGAAAGTGTTGCCAGCTGGTGGAGAATTTGGCTGCACAAATATTGTTGATGCCAAAATCGTCTACGCATCGATAGCGATGATTCCCTCACCGCCTCATATATGGCGTGAACAAGCCCGTACTGTACAAGTAAACAATGACAACATCATTACCAGTTATTACCGCCCCAGTAAAGACGTTCTCAACACGGAGCGCTCTGGACTGCTATCGTAACCAAACGTCGCAATCGTCAGCGTATCACGATTGGATTATGTATCCATCGTTGACACGTCCTAACCATAAGCCACGTGAACAAGACGCTTCAAAGACGCATCGAATACGTATTTTGAGTTCGAGCGTCGTTGCGATCGACGACACAAACTATGAAAGCTCCTCTGTCCATCTCTCTCCCGTCTGCGCTCAATTCTTGCATGAACAGGAATGTCATTCTGAACATCGAACGCCTATTCCAAACTGTTTTTGCTTACTATCAGGGATCGCAGACGGAGCACAGAAATGAGGTTTATTTTTTCTGAGCAGCCCCGTGAAGGGAGAGAAGCGTTTCTTACTTGTTCTTATAAAGCGTAAATTTTGCTTTTGTTCCAAACCACGAGCCATTGTTTTCCGCGCCTTTCTTGAAGTTTGTAGGACCGTTCAGAAGATGGTAAACATAACATCAGTGTTCCATGCATGTACTCTTAACAACAATGTCTTTTCTGTGCACGTGCGGGTAATTGGGGGGGGGGGGTTAGGTTTTTTATTTTAGTACTTTAGTGATATTTAGTACTATCAACTAATACTGTCACACCCGTGGGCTAGAGAAACAAAAATCGGCGCTCATCCAGTAAGGGGGGCATCAAGTGGCTGCCCTCACCCCCCCCTAGACTGCCTACACTCCCCCTGGCGCACAGGTTTCTCGAAGTACGGGACCCCGTGAGCCAGGGGGAGTGAAGGCAGTAGGGGGGGGGGTGAGGGCAGCCACTTGACGTTGCATCACAATGCCCCCTCTGATGAGCCCCCCGACCTTTACGCCAAGATGAAGTGGAGGACGTAAGCCATTGGGGACAGCGACGAAGCGCCGCTCCGCGTGCCGCGTGGTCCGCCCCCCCCTCCCTCATCTAAGTTAGCACCAGTAGCCGCAGTAAAATAAGCACGAGGCCCCCGTAACATGCAAGAACTGATTTCAAAAAACCGAATTCTTTGCATCTCTTCCACATTTGTTTTTTCCTCTAAAAGCATCGTGAAAGCATCGAAATTCATCTGGAATAATCTGTTTGCTCGTGCTCACTGGAACATGATGTGTTTCAGTGAGAAGTCCTGCTCTGGGATGCGCCATTCAATCGTTTGTGGTGAGTAATCACAATGATTTATTAAAATCTGTCCTCCTTGCCATTTTGCCATGCCTTGTTACGTTTCATATTTTGTGAACTGGCTACGTGAACTCACGAGCCGCCTCCTCCCTTCCATTCGGCTGAATACGACCAAACCGTTAGGTCTTCGAGCACGAGCGTTGACCCAAAATCACGAGTCTGCCTCTGACATATGCTGAAGATATTTCTTCCAAAAAGAAAGCTAATCACAGTTGCGGTGTTTCCAGTACCCCGAGGTTTGAGCCAGTTGGCTGTAAAGAGAATGTGCGCGCCACCACAGTGTGGATTTCTTGACCCACAGCGCTCTGGAGCAGAGCCAGAAGTAGGCTGGTCAAGTTGGGTATTGTCCACAGTTGATGCCGCACTGGAGAATCAGAAAATAGGAGAGCAGAAGAGTTCATAAACGAATATACGATATCTATCAGGAGAATCGCAGAAAGGAGAATCACGTAGGCGAAACATCGGGGTCGGTGATAACCGTAAGATGGACCCATCAGGAGGCAGGTGAATGAGTGAATCTCATTTGCGACGCTCCTAAAACACTGAGAGGGCAGATTCGACCAACTCCATATCTAGGTGAGCAACGTTGCTGAGTTTCGCGACTATTCTTGGCTCGACTCTCTCCAAAAATTCCACTTTTTTTCAAAGCAGGACTGCTCCATAGATGGGTGTTTTCGTAAGGTATGTATGAGTATGTGTATAATAGAAATGGGGACGTGTTGAAAGTAAAGAAATTATGAACATGAGCTGAGAGTGGAGAAGGTAGTAGCACCCACACCACTAGGAATCAGTTTAAAGGCCGAAAAAACCGGTTCCCCCCAGCAGGGTGGGCGTGGTCGGAAACGACTGCAATCCCCTCGGCCGATTCCGACCACGCCCACTTCAGCTCCCTGCCTAGCGGCTTTCCAAGGTGAGTTTTTGTTCAGTCACACTTCTTACGTTCTTGACTAGGGGCTGAACAGCTCCGAAGTGGGAATCGGCCGAGGGGATTGCAGTCGTTTCCGACCACGCCCACCTGCTGGGACTGTTGCTTTAAAGCAACAATCCAGGAACGAATTCGCGGGTAAGGACCACCTATAATGACGTTGCAGGTGAGAAGTTGGTCAATGGAGAAAGAAAAAGTAGAAAAAACGTCGGGCAGGGGCTTAGACAGGGACTCCCCCTGCCGTTTAGGGAGACGTGTGTTGGACGAGTTGTCCGAACCTGCCCGTAGTACATGCGCTCCAATTGACTGCTGGCAAATAGCCATGCATGCTTGCAAATACATAACTATTTGCCAGCAATCGAAATTGAAGCGCTTCAATTGCGTTCTTATGGAATCGACCTCATACAGCGCGGCGGTCCCGCAACGACCGCTAGTCGAGCAAGCGCTCTGCACAGCGAATGTTGGGCGATCCGCCTCTTTATGGGTGATCCGCCCCCTCCAAGAGGACTTCGACCCCTTCCAGCGCATTTTAGAGGTAGGTTTTGAAATTAAAGACATTTCCTATAAACTTTAGTTGGGCTGGGGCATGTTTTGACCGCCTAATGACCAAGTAGTTGAAACCCTGCCTGGACTGTTGCTTTAAAGAACACCCCAATCACACCAGTCCTACCCCGAAAACCACTTTCTCTTTGATTTGATTCTGAGTCCAGTCATCGACACAGCCCAACTCCGCTCACTTTTCCTTCCAAATCAGCGATCGGGCCGGGGGGGGGGGGTAAGTTGGTATCATGAAAGCAAGCAATTCTAATCTGTCTACTTTATTTCACTTTAACTCGCTGAAAAACCCGTCAAATACAACCCCTGCGTACACGTAACCTAAAATCAATTGATCTTTCCTAAAACCTTAACGCAAGCTTAAAATTCGACCCCTTCTCAAAATCGCAAATAGTGGAACGGACGGCTGGCCACGGGTGGCAATCGGCGGCACTTTTTTGCTTTCTGCGCCTCTCACCGAGACAGAACTCGCACATTCGAACCTACAACACATTTGAAATGCTCCTCTTCCCTCCACCCCTGCGTAGGCTACAATTTCTGGCTCACGGAGTTTTATCGTTGGCAGACGATCTTTCGGTGAGATGGCGCAAACAAGCTAACCGACACGTCACTAGATATTCCCAAATCCCGAACTGCCGAAAAAGGGGTCCTCAGAACCGGTATCATCAACAACTGGAGTAGCATTGCGTTTTCTCTTTCCTTACACGGCCCGAAACATGGCACTGGTCCTAGAAAAAGCGGGATGGCAGTGCAATATTGGGTTACTGTAGTGGCCTTCAGTACGCGATTACACATGCTAGCTGCGAGATTTACGGTGACGACTACTTGCACTCGTTGCCGCTTTGGCCGACCCCTGTGCATCTACTAGCGGGTCCCTCTCCCTCTCTTAGGCTTAGTTTAGGCCCTGTTACTCCAAATTGTCTGTGGCTCTAGGCCCATCGCGGGCCCGATCATTGAGGAAAATCACAGTACCAGTCGTAAACCGAGATTTTAACGGGCGTATTGATTAAAACGTTGCACAGGTTTATCTGTACAGCTTATTCACGACCGCGAGTAGCTGTGGGATGGCGCCAGTTCACGATTTCAAACGGCCAAATTTCGCACAAGTAAGTTTGTACTTTTTTAATCTTTCCCTTTCTTCCTGAAAATTTTTTTGGATAATTTCGGCTTGTAGGGGCAGAAAATAGGTCTTTTTCCCTTGACTCGAATTGTTTTGCTTTAGTTAAGTTCTAGCTTTGGTCAAGTTTTACGTCTATTTGGTGTGGGATTGTTTCATTACATATCTGTCAATTAATCCATTCATGATTCAATCAATAAGTAAGATTGGACGAATTTTATTAATTGATTTTCTAGACGCCTGTCGCCCACGCTCGCACTCCACTAATTAAGTTTATTGGTGCTCGACTGCCTAGGCCTGATTTTTCTCGGTGAGACCTCTGCAGATACACTGAGATTGCTTCGCTTTCAGTTTTTGTTCAATAAATTTTGCTTTGCAGAGTTGTTTCGGGTCCAATTCCATCACCACCTGTGCCTCCCACTCCAGCAGGTTTGCTACAAGTATTTTGCGTCTGGAAATATCTCTTTTAATGGGTGTTAAGCAGAACGGGAGCAATGGTGTGGTGGAAAGTATTCAACGGACAGTATATGGTGGTGTTTTAGACAAGTAGTAAGCTGTATAGGGCGGGAGTGCTGTAGTGGCAGTTGATGCTACCGCGCGATGATCTAGGGATCAAATCCTGGATTAGTCCGTCCTTTTAGTCAGCCAACCTTTCTGTCTCACTCAGGGTCTCATGTCTTATTGACTAGGTCATATTCGCATTCAAAAGCCACTTTATTTTCAAATGGAAGTAGAATGCGTAAGAAATCGACCAAACTAAGAATGCGTAAGAAATTGAGCCAGCTAAAATGCTTCATCCTTCATCCTTCAACTAGTAGCAGATAACATCATAATCATCCACTTTTGAGGCTTGGAAGGTCCCGCATTGCCTGCCACGCGCGTGGATGGATGTCATCTCACAGGTCGTACTCCTTCCAGGGAACCGAACCCTTGATCCCTTTGGATTTTTTTACTTCCTTCTTGAGTTGACTGGGAGGACTACTATGTCGGCTGGCTCCTGTAATCAAATGCCATCCATGTAAGTAGGCATGGCGCATCCCCAGGAGGAATCAGTCAATGGCGAAACCCTTTCCTTGGCATCTCTGTCTAAAGAAGTACGGAGTAGTTGCACTTTTGAACTTGTTCTATTTATTCTTTTCACTTCTATTTTTAGCGGCGTCCGCTTCTGTGGGTGCAGCCGCTCAAACAGCTCATGGAGCTGTAATCACTGAGGACGAGCTTCCTCCACAATTCCGTCGTCCTCTTATTGATCAAGAAGAATGTGATGCCATAAACGTTAGTGATCCAATAGCTAATAGTACTTTTGTCGAACGACCTCTGGAACACGCGCTTTGCCTGAGTTCGACCTCGTTGTCATTGACAACGGGAAACGCGTGGGCCAGCGATCGCCTAGGCTTGGCGCACTTGATGACTTTCCGTTTTTATATCCACTTGTCATGAGCCCCTTCATTTGCGCGTTCGCTTCTTCTTTGTTGCGTTTATATCTCTAGTTTGTTCAGGCTGGCGGAGCGTATGGCTTGTAGGACTGCCACAGCTACTAAAAGAACACACCCGATGTTGAACGCGACTGGTGTTGGCTTTACTTATAGTATCTTTAGTCTGTACAGTAACTATGAGATAGGCATATGATGTAGTTCCACATGGTGTAATAAATTTTTATAAGATCCCAGTCTGTTCGGATTTCTCAAATGTGCAGATATTCACAACTATCCTGGTGTCTTTTCGTACGTGTATTGCTTAGTCAGATGGAAACTTTGTAGATTTTTTAGGAATGAAGTTTGTTGCGTATTATAAGTAGATCCACCTTCAATGTCAGACAAAAATGTGCTTCAAAGATCAGGTTCTACGAAGGAAAGGTATCGCTTAGAATATTGAGTGTTATTATTCGATGTTACTTCAATGTTGCTAGCTGCTTGGTGCATGTGTAGTGCATCCTTTTGCTTCGTGGACGAACATTACAGCATTTGTTGCAGGGATTTATTGTCGCTGGTACACTCAGTCGTTGAAGCATGCACTTCAAAAGGAGTAGAGGAACAGCGGAAATTCGCGGAAAGGTTTGTCTACTGCTATGTCTTTTTGAAAGCCGTAACAGCAGCCAAAAATTCCACCGTTGAGTGTTTTGTGTTGCCTATTCGAAAAACTCCCTGCACTGGCTTAGCACTCTCCCCCCCCCTCCAAAAAAATCAAGAATTAGTTACATCCAGTTAGGAGGGAGTTCTCGTGAGTTGTATGGGCGCCTGAACACCTCATCATCCATCCTCTTACTGTCTTTACAAGATCTTTTTGAACAACTGTCTCAAAGAATACTTATGTATCTGAGCTAAATGCATCTTTGATCTCTCTATCTGCTTCCGCTCGTTCCAGACCTATGTTGGGTTAAAAAAGTAAATTGTGCAAACTTGCTCTCAAGCATGCCGTATTTTAAGCTTCGAAGAAGTGATACAAATAGGAAGGAAAGCTCTTGAAAAATTTTACAAGAATGCAAGAGAACGAAGCTTGCTCCTCAGGCAGGATTTGAATCCGCCTGTAGGTGCGACTCTCGATTGGGGCGCAAGTTTTGTTCACAACCCAGCATTCATGTGAAACTTTTGCAATGCGAACTGCAGCCAAAGACAGTTTATTAACAAACAATAGCAGCTCCTCCAAATGGCTTGTGTAACAATGGCAGCTAGCTCGGAATAATAGGACAAAAATAAGCATTCAAAACGTTGAAGTGTAAAAAACGACATCTGAAAGTTAATACAATTACACGTCTTGTGCAACCAGTTAGAAACTCAAAAAGGTTTTACTAATCAACACACATTGGGGACCGCTCGCATGGACTTTTTTGTGCGCGTGTGAGCTCCAAAATCCAACAGAAAAGCCACATAGAAATGTTTCAAGTTTTTCACGAAAGACTGCATTTGCATTCAGTCTGAGCCGTGCATGGACACCAAGTGCGGACACGTCAGCAACATTCACTTACTATGTGTCGAAGAAGCAGTCATCCGATGGCGATCATCTGAGGACTCTCCTGAGAGCTGTAGAGGTACATTTCATTTATTTCTTGTTGTTGAAGAACTTCAGTTTGAAATTCAAGATGTGCAGCGATGACTTCTGCCTGGTGTTATTATGCAAACTCATCCAAGAACTTATCAACACCGGTTCCATAAAAGGTTTGTTTAGTTCACATACGCGTTTTATTTTTTGGTTGTTATTTTTTTTTGTTATCAAAAGTTATTGTTGTAGTCATTTATATTTATGCATTCAGCCAGACAAAGAAGACATCGCAAGCTGATTAAGGCTGACGCAACATCGTCCCTTATACGAACTCTCAGGTATAGGCTCAAGGAGGTGTTACCCAAAAAGAGTAGCGAGATGAGAGAAAGTCATGCTGAATTTAATGCCCTAGCAGAGCACACTGATGACACCGTCGCAGATCTCTGGTCCTTGCTATCGGTACAAAAGGTGGGTACTTTCTCAAGATTGCTCTATTAATTTTGTACTTTTGCAAAAAGCTCATAAATCAGTAAGCTCTGAGTGACATCATTTGGTAGAGGGGACTCTTGATGCATTTCATTGAGGGAGAGAGCATCGTTTGCGTAACATTTTGTTTCTAATTTTTTAAGGAAACGAGGTAGGGTATGGTGAATGTTTTGCTATTGCTAACAGACCACGCGCTCACTGTACGGTATAGAGAACTGAGTACTTGTCGCTCGATGTCTGAAGGTACATCCCTTCGCCGATGGGGTCGCGCCCGCGGCCCGATGTTATTCTTCCTCCACCACCGGAGCTAGAGTTGTTATTGTCCACGCTCTCACCTTTACGAAATGGGAAAATCGCACGTTCATTTACGAGTTCCTCGCTGAAGAGTACTAGGTTACCAGCCCCGCCAAATCCTCTAGTATGCACCACCGCTGACAAGCCTCTCATCGATATGCGCAGCTCGACAATGCTGGAACTGCTTCCTGTCTTTCTGTCCTTTGGTTCTATAAATCATCGGACTGCTGAGCTGTCAGAAACGTCTGCATTTGCCTTTTTACAAGCTAGTGTAGTCAGTTGAGTCCTTTGAGAGAGAAGTACCTATTTTTTGAACTACAAGGGCAGGATTTACGAAGGAGAATCTACTGATCGGCAGTGATGGGTGATATTGACATAGCGAGAGATTCAGTCGATCGATAATCGTTCTGGTCTAACGGTCATCGCAAGTTCACTTAAAGTTCACTTAAATTGCTCCCCAGTTAACATTCAATCCCTTAGCAGGGTTCCCTGCATATATACAGTAGCGGTCAAAAGTGTTCGCCGAAACGATTTTCAGTGCATTATTTTTTCTCGCTTGAGCAACGCCCTCCAAAGATTGATATACTATGTTTTCTAGTGTTTTTATATCCTCAAGTCTTAAAGAATCAGGATATTCAAAAATTTTCGAGGTCACCATTGATTTTTTCTGGCAAAAAAAGAGAAGCACGAAAAACCGTTTCGGCGAACACTTTTGACCGCTACTGTACGTGTATCTTGGAAATTTGAATGTTTTTTGCTCCACAGTGTGTTGTACTCGGCAGCACACTCATCCTGTCTGTACTGAGTCCAGTTTTTCGAAGTGGAAATACTGGGCGAAGCTTGGGTTGTGTGGACATGTTGTCGACTCTGATTGTTGCACATTTCATTTGATCCATCACATTGTCGGAGAGCGTTGCTGACAAGTTTTAGCGGAATGGTGTCATCCTCTTCACGACGATGGATGATAACCTCATTCTAGTTCGACGAAATTTCGATCGTAAGTGCACTAAACTGGGTTAGGAAGTGTAGGTGCCTAACTGTTTTCTCTATTCTTGAGAACTGCATGTCGGGCGTGACGCGGAAGATCTCTTGTTACTGCTTCCTTCCCTGTATTATTTCCATCAATTCTTTCTGATTTCCTTTACACCTCTTATTTCCTGATGGAGCGTGGTCGTTCATGGTTTATATCGTATTTTTTTTTATCTTGTGACCATGCTCGCGCTTCGGGGAAGTTGGAAGTTGTAGGGTCGGAAATGTCGGGGAATCCGAAAAGCTCTTCGTAAGAGTTGAGTCCGAGATTTGGCAACAACTAGTGGCTAATATTCTTCAGGCGTCTAGTTGGATCGCTGGTGCTGCTAGATTCTTCATTGATGGAGTAGTCCTTTTGAAAGGCAGAACTGACATGAGAGATTTCCTCTGTTTTGAATGGCTCCTAGCTATCTGGAGATGGCTGCCGCAGAATTTTAAATAAAGTCGTGAATGCTATCCTAGGTGCAGTGATGTTTCGCCTGCACATTTCGGTCTTGCAACCGTAACTTCGACGGGCATAACAGATGTTGCTCCTCAGCCTCTGCCACCTCGGCTCGTTCCTTAAGATCTTTCCTTGTCGCCGCAGGTGGATGGTAGTCATTAATGACCACGGATTGTGTCGCTCCACGTTGGCGTATCATTTTGAAAGTCCCAAACAGAGACGTGTCTTTGTGAATTCCATCTTCCTTCTCAGCTTTATCGTATGTTCAACAAGTGATTGCTGATGTTTTGGTAACGAGTTCTCCCATAGGCCGATGTTAGACTTTGCGAATCGCGCGATTCGCAAAGTCTGACATCGGTCATAGGTCGGCGAGAAAGGTGAGGTGGTTGCATTGAACCCATTAGCGACATTGCGACTCGACGTGGGATGCAATTTTTGGCGCAGGGGTCAATAGACTCGGTATGGGGCGCAGCATAGGAAATTGCAGGTTTTAAGTTGATTACGAGTGGATATCGGCCCATTTGCTAAATTGGAGTGGAACATTCAAGTTTTTCTTGCTTGCTCCGGTATCCTCCTTTAACTAAACGAAAAAATTTACGCTTGCTCTAAAAACAGTCGGCCAAAGGTTTGAGACATGCAAAGTCTAACATTTTCTGCATTGAGATCCAGCATTTTTCGTGTTGGCCGGTCCCAGCATTGTGATGTTTTTTGGAAGGTAATCCAAGGCGTGGAACCATCGCCGTACATCGAAATTCCATTGTCGTGTGGCGGTTCAATGGCTTGCGCATGTGGCTTCCGTCCGCTCTCCGTTCACTCAGATTAACCATTTGCAGCGAAGAGACGATCCTTGGAGGCGTTGGAATGGGAACCATATCCCAGCCCTCAATAGGGCCAAGCACCTTTTAATAGCGAGTGATCTAGCCATCGTCGCCTAAAGCTCGCTGCACCACATGGGGGTGTTCGCGAAGCCCATCGTTGATTCCAAGTTCGATAGGTTTCTCTAGGACTACGAGTTAAAGGGATGGTCGTCACTAACGTGATCGAACTCATGTTATCTCTACTGCACATACCTCTTCCCTTTATTGAGCAAGAGCAGCAACATTTGAAGATCTGTTCTTATTTGCTAGCAGTTTTGCCGCTCGTTTGACTCTAAATGGCTAGTGCTCGACCTTCAGAAACGCGCTTGGTTATATTCCATTCTCGCGCTGTTCATTGCCAAGTCTTCAGACTGTCGGCTATCGCTCAAAATTCGGTCGTTGGAGGAGTGCTGCAGCTGTTGTGTTCTATTGTCGCAAGTAATTGTGAGAATCCGCTCAGTCCCACTATGGCGAGGTTATTATGTCGTTCTGTTCGATCTCGTAAGTCAACTGATCTTTTTTTTCTAAGACTTAGAAGATTGGCTTTCACAAAATGCAGAAAGAATTTCCTACATTTTATTACGTTGACTCATGACTTCCTCAATATTATTAGGTTGGAAAGAAAGTCCTGCAACACTTTTTCAAATTTTTGATTTTAATTTTATCTTTTTTGGTTACAACTTCTGACCGGTCTTATATCTACCATGAGTGTCCACCACTTGTCTCCATCGCTCAGAAAATTTCTTGATCCTCCTCCGCCAAAACCCAGCGGAGTGCGAGTCGAGAAAGGAGGCGACCTCACTTTCGAGTTGAGAGTTGAAACCCTCCGTCTGATTATTTCGTTTATAAAGATGATGATTAAAGGTCCAGGATAGGTAGCACTTATTTACAGCTCGACCAGGGGATTACGCTAAGAGAGGAAAGAAATCTTGCCGCAACTCCAGAATTTCTTACCGGGCTCATTTCGGATCATGGTGATTCGCAATGTCATGAAAGAAATGAATATTGTCGCGGTACGAGGGCTCTTGACGAGCTACCTCGGCCAGCTTCTGGTACTCCACAACCTAGGCCACTGCCTACACAATGGTGCCCATAACGAAGGGTATGTAGTGGAGCTTCTGTAAGAGCCCTACCTGTAATGGAGTGTGAGGGATGCTGCTGGCTTCTTATAAAAATATCAAAAGATCGGAAGCGCTGGTAAAGGTGAAACACGCTGTATCGCTGAACGGCATGCCATTAGAAGCTATTGCAGATAGTGTCAGTCGTTGACACGAATCCATGGTTTTGTAGACATTTGTACTAGACAGTGACTCGGAGTACGGATTTGCTAGTGGTCGAGATTTTTTGAATTTTCTTGGATAACTACTGACTGCAGAACTTATATCCACCTCGTGGATTGAAGCCTTGAGAATGCTCTATCATTTGGTAGTCATAAATGTTACCGCCTATGGGATGTTCAGAAAAAAACGAACCATTATTGGAAAGCGGTTGAAGAAACCGTTTCTTTCCAACCTCATACTTTAGGTGTCTGTGGCAAGCTATATTTTTAAGGGTCAGGAGTAATCTTATTACTACCAGAGTGGGTCAAATCGTCGTGAACCAAAAATGTGCGCTGTCATACGCCTCTTTCCCACTCTTGTTCTCCTTCTGTACATAATTTAAAAATTACAACGGTCTGACTGTCTTCCTCCCGGGAAACTAAATATCATGTTTTCTTCAAATACAGTGAAGCCGTCTCATCACGATATGCCAACCTCAAATTGAATCTATGTACAAAGAGTTATGCTTACTCTACGTCTGTGGAAGTTCAACGTAACAAAAAGCTCGTATGGATAACTATTCAACGCTACAAAAAGGGTGGAACCATCTTAGACGGAAAACGTGCAGATTCGAGGGTTACATCTACCACCAGAGCAAATATCAGATGCAGAAACTCCTTCCCTCTTTTAGATTTTCGTACTCCAAAATGAAAAAGTTTAAGAAGGGCGGTGCACCTAAACCTCAAGCGAAAACTCTGTGAAAGGGGTTTCTCGGGTTCATAGGTTCCGAGTACATTATATTCAAGAATCCTCTATGGACCTCAGTTGGATTTTATTTGGTAAACAGGGAAGCAGGTGCCAATCAAAACCCAAAATTTTTCCGATTCTGAGAAGGCGCAGCAGGAAACCTAGAATAATCTAGAGAGCGCAGGGTGATTCAAGTTTTGAGCGTCAGGCATCCTAATGGTACGTTTGGAGGCGCGAAAGTAACGCAACCTAGCACTTCAACCCACGGGAGGGATTTATTCAGTTAGCTGAGACTGGACCTTGCCTTCAAAGTGATGTGGTGCCTGGTGGTGTAGTCAGTAGTACGGCTACCTGGAAAGCGAGAAGTGTGGGTTCAATGCTCGGTATACCCTGAATAGGTTTGAATTTACTTTTTTCTATTTCTGATATTCTTTTCTTATTTGCATGTCCCTGTTAGTAGAAATAAACGAACGACGAACTGAGCGAAATTCTCATGGGCCTTGGAAAAGCTCTCCTAAACAAAAGCACATTTGACCATTATGTCAACCACTTCGTTCATAATTTTCCATTGTATCGTCTGTAGAATGGACACGAAATTATTGTAAGCAATTGGGCATGCGCAAATACTTAATGCTATGGGCGCGGCACACAGAGTTGCCACAATGTCCCGCGTGGCCCGAGAAAGGCGGCATACATGATTGTCACGCTGTCGTCGTAGTGTTGATAAAAACCGCTGTGGGCGCTCATGTCGTCTTTTTAAGCGAGAAATGCACAGCTAGCTGGTCGTCATAAAGGATTTGCTGCCCGTCTGTTGATACGGATATCTTCATTGAAGTGCAAGGAACTACATCAGTGTCATCTGCTGGCTCGATATCTCGAAGTTCTCTACTTCGTCAGTAAAAACAGTAAGTACTATCTGAATTTT